ACAACTCATACTTGTTTTATAATATTTAAATTTACTTATTAAATATTATTGTATATATTTAACACTTAAAAATTAATTCTTATATTTTTAATAAAAAAATTGTGAAGTAAAATAGATGGATATAATGTTGACATTAGCAAAAAAAAAAGAAGTAAAAAGTTACTACAAATAAAATAATAAACATGTACTGACACTACAAGAAAATAATTTTTTAACTACGAAAACTAACGAGAAAAATGATTCCTCGTAAAGTTATGTGTTTTGTACGAGGAAATTATAAATCCTCGTAGATTCATCGTGAATAAACGAGAAATATGTTTCCTCGTAAAAAAGACGTTATTTAGCGAGGATATTACGTGGTAGACTTCGTTTCCTCGTAAAGTACTTGCTAATGTTACGTGTATTTTACGAGGAAACCATTTAGCGAGGAAAGAACGAGGCCAGCTACTTTTTAGTTGTAAACGTGTTTTTTTTTGGGCGTATATCTACCAATTTTCCTCATAAATTCCTCTTAAAATTTCACATGCAAATTCAGATCGCTTAGCTCACTGGAATTCACCTACACTAGATTACCCATCTGTGGTTATCAATGTGTATTTTGTATGAGAGTAAATCACCATCTCTCTCAATGTTAATCTACTTTAATATAAATTCACAAAACATTGAAGTTGATTGTTGCTATTCTTCCTGGTGTTAACGCTACTACTCAAGTACTCATATATCATCTCAACAGCAGTTAACAAACATTATTACCACAACTTTGGGATTATAAATTGATATTTGAATATGTCATATCATATAGCAAAATATAATGAACCCAGATTATACACTTTCCTCGCAAAGCTTTTCTAAAATCACATGATAGAGCGATCGACATCGGATTCTACACTGCATGCAAATTAATCCGAGCAGAGACTTCAAAGTCATTGTCCAATACTGCAAAACATGTACTGAACATGGTCCACAAAAATTCATTAGTAGGGTTTACAACAATAATGAAGACTCAGTAATCACAATGCATCACAACGTACACTAGTGAGTGTAATGAACCATTGGAAACAAGAACTCACTTGTTCTTTGAGTGCATATACTCAGCTGAAGTCTGGGAGAATCTTGCAAGAGGTATGATAGGGAATGTATACACACGAGTTTGGAGGGATATAGTTGCTAGTAAGTGGAGTGACCCATCTATTTTATATATTACTAAAGATCCATTCAACTACCGATGTGAGATACTTTGTGTCTAATATGCCCCTTCGAGATGATGATTCTTTGAGCGTCAATCTCGGAATGTTCGGAGAAGGATTGATGGTCAACTTTGGGTGCGGATCGATAATGGATCGAGGTTGCACTGCATGGATCATGGGCTCTGATACCATATTAAGCTAGATGAACTTCTAACCAATTGGTAGTAAGTTGAGTGATCCATCTATCTTATATAGTATTGAAGATCCATTCCAACCACGGATGTGAGACTTTGTGTCTAATACCCTAGAATCCTAGTAAATGTACGTTTGCTTTACTCTCTTTCTTATAAGCATAAACATAAACTTTTGATGCATTCGTTTTATTTTGTAAATTTGGTTCGCCTGCTCAAACTATATCTAAATTTTTCGCTTAAATAATTGCGAACCCGAACATCTTTCGTCGTTGTGCTGTCTGTTTGATTGATCAAATCAAACCACAAATCTTCTTTAAGAATAATACATATATTGATCCAATACAAATTGTAAATATGATTTGGTTTAATATTTTTACATACAGATTTGTGAATTCTTTTGTTTATTAATTAATATAATTGGATAGATCTGGTCTAGTTAAGTACGTACATTCAAATTAGGAGTCGGTTAGCGTAAATGGAACCTAGTTAGCAAACACGGTTAATTTAGTGTTTTGCCTCCTCTCTCAATATCACTGTTGAGAAGTTGGTGTGTTATTCCCTGTCGGCTACAGCAGAGACGTTGGTATAATAACAGTGCCGGCTCACGGTTTCTGGGGGGCCTGGGCAACATTTTTCTTTAAAAGTCATTTTAAATAACTTTTAATACTATTTTATATGAGAATTGTTGATAAATTTAGTTATGAAGAGATATAAAAAAATTTAGTTAATCTTTTTTCAGATTGAAAATTAGGGGTTTTTGTATCATGATCTCCAGGAACCAGGATAGTGGCACTACTCGTCCACATGGGTAAGCCGGCACTAGGTAAGCTCTCTGAGCTTAGCCATCACTTTTATATTCGGAAATTTTCCTAGCCAGATATATACGGATTAACGGGAGCCTTCTATCAGCGTTTCTGGCATATTGTGGGACCGAGTATAATCGAGGAGATCCAGAAATTTTTCAGCCTTGCAATCGTCCCTGAAGGCTGGAACCATACACAACTATGTTTGATCCCCAAGATACCAAACCCGTCACTGATGAAGGATATGAGACCTATAAGTTTGTGCTCTGTTCAGTACAAAATCATTTCAAAAATCCTCTGTGAACGTCTCAAGCCGATTTTACCATCTTTAGTTTCTGACACACATGGAGCCTTTGTGTCTGAACGCCTCATATCAGACAATGTCATTGTGGCACATGAAATGATCCACGGTTTGCGTACAAATGAGTCCATTGGGAAGCAATACATGGCGATCAAGACTGACATGTCCAAGGCCTATGATCGGGTAGAGTGGTCTTTCTTAGAGACATTGCTAGAGAACTTAGGTTTTGCTCACACCTGGATTCGATGGATCATGAGTTGCGTTACCACAGTATCCTACACGATCCTCCTGAACGGTCGGACGCACGGCCTTATCAAACCAGAACGCGGAATCAGGCAAGGAGACCCGCTGTCGCCTTTCCTTTTTATCTTCTGCGCTGAAGCCTTGTTGCATGTCCTTAATATGGCGGAAAAGAGAGGTAACCTCCATGGTATAAGGCTGAGCAAAAATGGGCCTGCGGTGCATCATCTGCTTTTCGCCGATGACAGTTTGCTATTGTGTAAAGCGGATGAAAAGGAAAGTTTGACGTTAATGAATTGTCTTAAAATATATGGTGAAGCTTCTGGTCAGGTTATAAACAAGATGTAATCATCGATCATCTTTGGCAGGAGAATAACTGACGACAAGAAAGCTGAAATCAAGCGTATCCTGGAGATTGACAAGGAAGGAGGGGATGGAACATATCTCGGTTTGCCGGAATGTTTCCATGGTTCAAAGATCGAGCTTCTGAATTTCATTCGAGAAAGACTCCAAGGTAGACTACAGGGTTGGTTTCTCAAAGATTTATCTCAAGGTGGAAAGGAGATTCTGCTTAAGTCCATTGCGTTGGCTCTACCAGTTTATGCGATGTCAGTTTTCAAATTACCCAAGGATCTTTGTGATAAACTCACTAGCGCCATGGTGGAATTTTGGTGGAGCAGTGGCTCTAACAAAAATAAAATATCATGGGTAGCTTGGGAACGGCTGTGTTAACGTAAAGATGAAGGAGGCTTAGGCTTTCACGATATCAGCGTTTTCAATCAAGCACTGTTGGCAAAACAGGCATGGCGTATACTACAGAACCCAGACTCCTTGGTGGCTCGAATCCTTAAAAGCAAGTATTGGCGGAATGGCTCTTTCATGGAGGCTGGTGAGGGTACGAGGCCCTCGTACGCATGGAGAAGCATATTACATGGTCGTGCCTTACTTGAGCAGGGGATGGTGAAGAGAATTGGAGATGGAGTCTCAACGCGAGTCTGGACAGAAAAGTGGCTACAAAATCCCCTTCCGCGTGCTCCTATGTACCGTCAGGATTGTGTGGTGGATCTCACCCTATCCGTCTCTGATCTCATCATCCCACATACAAACCTATGGCATGTTCAGAAAGTTCGTCAGCTCTTTATAGAGGAAGACGCACTTGCTGTATTATCTCTTAAAACCACGACTTTCAAGGAGGATAGGTGGTGTTGGGGTTTTACAAGGGATGTAATCTACACCTCTCAGAGTGGTTATAAACTTGCTGCATCTCTTAAAAACCAACAGGGGTCTGGTAATAGCTCGCTTCCCCCCTAGAAAAGAGGTTGTGGTGCAATGTGTGGAAACTGAAAACAACACCGAAGATCCGCCATTTCTTCTGGAGAGCTCTCGCTGGAGCCTTGGCGGTCGCTGATCAGCTTCGGGCACAAGGCATTGCTGTGGATAGAACCTGTAAGGTTTGTGGTGCAGGACAAGAATCAATCTGCCACACTCTCTTTACATGCAAAGCAGCCAGTGATACATGGTCTGCAGCTGGCTTACCTCTTCGTGAGAGAGGTCTATCTCACAACTCGGTGTTCCTTAACATCCATCATTTGATAGCTTGCACCAAAAGTAAAAATTTCCAGCTTCCTCTCCAACGTAGTATACCTTGGATTCTCTGGCATATCTGGAAGTCTCGCAATGCCTTGGTCTTTGAAAAGATTCGTTTTGACCCTACTACTGTCTTGAGAAAAGCGGAAGAGGAGTCGCGAATATGGTTTGAGTTAAATTCTCCGGTCGCTACGGAAACACTCTCCAACCACACCAGTTGCCTAACCAATCAATCTTGGAAAGCACTACCTGATGATGCCCTGAAATGTAACATCGCTGCCTCGTGGTCAGAAGTAACAGGTATGAGTGGAGCTTCCTGGGTGGTTAGAGATAGTAGAGGTAAAGTCCTGAAACATAGTAGGAGTTCCTTTTCATTTGTGCACTCTAAAGAAATTGCAGAACTTCGGGCCTTTCACTGGGCTATTGAGAGCATGATCGCTCTACACAGTGCCGGCTTTGTACAGGTGCACAAGGTGCAGTGGCACAGGGTCCAAAAAATTTTAGGGCCCATAATTTATAAGTTTTACCTTAATCAAACTTTAATACACATAATTATGATAAGTAAAAAGGCCCTGTTATATCTGTAAAAGGCCCACAAAAACATGACAAAAGCAGTACCTCTAATTATATAATTAAAAAAAAATATGTCGTCTCTCACCTCTACGTTTCAGCGGCCGATGGACAAAATATGGGATCTCAACTTTCAAGATCTGGAGGTAACCTATAATCCATTGAACAAAGCTTTTATCTGTTATCCTAATTTGAATTAGCCGTTTGTGATTTCCTTTTTTATATAAATACATAATTCCTAATTATATCAATTTAAATTACAGATTTTCCTAATTTTCTTTCCCTGTGTCACTTGTTTTTCTACACGCAGTCTATCAATACATTGGCAAAAGAAAATTCAGAACACTTACCTCTTACAAGATTGCAGTTGTGGCCATTTTCTTTCTTCCTCCATCTTCACGAACCACACCAATCCAGGTTCTATTGTTTCATTACCTAATTTTTTTAATTAACAGTAGATTAGAATTGTTAATTGAAAGTTTAAATATGTCATCTGGTCATGCTAAAAGACAAAAACAAAGAACATATAGAAAATTTCATTAGGTCACAAAAAGGATCTATGGATAAATTTGTTGTGAAAGAAAGACATGAAAAAGAAAAAGATAATGATATTGATATTGGTGGGTCTAGTTCTCATGAGAATATCAATAATATAGATACTACACAAGTTTTGGATACTTCTAAAATCCTTGAAAAAGATGATATTGGTGCTGCTAGTTTTGTTGATATATATGATCCAAGAAATTGGGATATGCTTAATATAAAATTGAGAGAAACATTAGCAGTAAATGGACCAAAAAGAGATTTGTCTATTATAAAAGGTCCTAAAAACAAGGTTCATAGAAGATTTTTTTCATCTTGTTATACTAGAGAATTGCCTAATGGAGAAACAAGTGATAGAAAATGGTTAGTTTATTCCAAAGATTTAGATAGAGTTTTTTGTTTCTGTTGTAAGATTTTTAAGAAAGGTATTAAAAAAAGCCAGCTAGCTAAAGATGGTCTTTCAGATTGGACTCATATACTTGTTAGATTAAAGGAACATGAAAAAAGTAAGGAACATATGCTTAACATGAGTGCTTGGATAGAATTACGACATAGATTTAAGAAAAATGAAACTATTGATAAAGTTGCTCTAGAAAATTTTAAAAAAGAAAATGAATATTGGAAAAATGTATTAATTAGAATTATTGCTATTGTGAAATATCTTGCCAAGCATAACTTGGCATTTCGTGGAACACATGAAAAGTTATATGAAAATAGTAATGGTAATTTTTTAGGATTAATAGAGATGTTAGCAGAATTTGATTGTGTTATAAAAGAACATGTTTTTCGGATTACTAGTGGTAGTATTCATCATCATTATCTTGGTCATAATATTCAAAATGAATTAATTCTTTTGATTGCTTCAAAAATTAAATCAAAAATTATTACTAGAATAAAAGAGGCAAGATATTTTTCAGTGATACTGGATTGTACTCCTGATGCTAGCCATCAAGAGCAAATGACACTAATTCTAAGGTGCGTTCATTTTTCCTCAACCTCTTATAAGGTAGAAGAGTATTTTGTAGAATTTTTAAAAGTAGATGACACAACTGGTCTAGGACTTTTTGAAGTGTTAAAAGATGTATTAAAATCTTTAGATCTTGATTTAGATAATGTGAGAGGTCAAGGTTATGACAATGGATCAAATATGAAAGGACATAAACAAGGTGTACAAAAAAGATTTTTGGATATAAATCCTAGAGCTTTTTATACACCATGTGCTTGTCATAGTTTAAATTTGGTCTTGTCTGATATTGCAAATAACTCTATGAAAGTCAAAGATTTTTTCGGTGTGGTGCAACGTTTATATTCTTTATTTTCTAAGTCTGTAAAAAGATGGGATATATTGAAAGCAAATGTTAAAAATTTCACTCTTAAGCAATTGTCAACAACTCGATGGGAAAGCCGTATTGAAAGTGTTAAAGCTATAAGATTTCAGATTATAGATATAAGAGAAGCTTTACTTGAAGTGAGTGAAAATGATAATGATCCTTTGATTCAAAGTGAAGCAAAGTCTTTAGAAATAAATGAACTTAGTAGTTTTGAATTTGTATTATCTAGTGTTATTTGGTTTGATATACTGCATGTGGTGAATATGGTTAGCAAAAAGTTACAGTCAAAAGATATGCAAATTGACGTTGCAATGACTGAGGTAAGTGGACTGATTTCTTATTTTGAAAAATATAGAGAAACTGGTTTTGGTGATGCTATGATGAAAGCAAAAGAAATTGCTAATGAAATTGGTATTGAACCGATTTTTATTCAAAAACGTATTATTCGTAGAAAAAAACAGTTTGATGAAACTAGTGATAATGAAACTATATTGTCTGTAGAAGAAACATTTAGGATTGAATATTTTTTGTATATAATAGATCATGCCATTAGTTCTCTTGATAAGAGATTTGAACAATACAAATTATATGAAAATATTTTTGGTTTTTTATTTGATTCTGCTAAACTGAAAATGTATGATGATGATACTTTAAATTCTTGCTGTAGGTTTTTAGAAACTAGTTTAAAAACTGAGGATTCAACAGATATAGATGGAGATGAACTTTTTCTTGAACTTAAATTTCTTAAAGAACTTTTACCAAATAAAAAAATGGGTGCATGTGATGTTCTGAATTTTCTTGTAGAATTTGATAGTTTTCCTAATACTACAACTGCATATAGAATTTTACTTACTGTTCCTATTACTGTTGCTTCTGCAGAAAGAAGTTTCTCCAAGCTGAAACTTTTGAAGTCTTATCTAAGAGCATCTATGTCACAAGAAAGATTAAGTGGATTAGCTTTAATAGCAATTGAGAACAATTTTTTGGAAGAAATAGATGTTGAATCTTTAATTGATGATTTTGCTTCAAAGCATGTAAATAGAATGGCTTTATTTGGTTGAGAGATCACAAGAGAAGTTTTTCGAAGATGAAGATTTCTTTTTTACTGATTGTAAAAGTTACTGTCTATTTATTCTTTGTATTTGAACGTAGACAAAATTGTGGTTGTTCTTTTTTTATTAGCAGAAAATTTATTTAGGGCCTTTTTTGAATGTTAGCACCGGGCCAGACTAACTACTGAGCCGGGCCTGTTTGTATGGTATCTGCCCTGATTATCTAAAAACAACTATTTCTCTTTGACTTTTTATTCTCCTACCTATTGGTTTGGAGTCCTAATTTCCCCTTTCATGGGGTTTGTAGTGTTTAAACTCTTGCCTTAAGGCCTAATAATATTCAGTGTTAAAAAAAAAAAAATTAAGGACTGGTCTCGTCTACCTTGCTTCACTTTTCTTTAGCTGGTGAACAACAAAGCGTTCACAAAAATTACCAGTGAGTCAAAACTCTCACACTTTATTAACAACCAGCAGTGCACATGACATGCACCATTCATAAATTGTTGATAGTGTAAAATCAACGGATCAAAAGCAGCCGCGTGTAACGTTTGTAGCACCATTAGTTTCAGACCAATCACATTAAATCCATTCACCAAAAACAGGCCTGACCATAACGTTACTATATCAAACTATAACATACTTTATTGTGTCATAGTAGGGATCACATTCCTTTATCAATAGCTACCACATATATGCAAATCCTTTCACATGAGAATGTTAAAAATGAGTGGCTCCACAATGATTATGCATAAGACAGTGATATGATCACCAACCTATAATGCTTGCCCATAGGCTTCTCCCATTAATAGGATTCTGGGAAAGCTTTAACTTTGAGTTGTCAAAAACAGTTAGAAGGATCGGTTTATAGGTGAGATTAGAGTCCCTCATTAACACTATCAGGACACTATACATTAAATAAGTGAGGGAGATGGCACTTTGTGTAATTTCCCTTTTACCCTTCATCTTTGCTTTCTCCACAAGAAACCCACAACCTTAAAAGCCCTCGCTGCTGATTTACTCGCTTTCCAATAGTGATTTGTTCTCTGTTTTCAGTGACAATGGATAGCACAGAACCTTCCTCTAATGGAAACATCCAGAATGAGAAGGACTCAAAGAAGAAAGAATCTGTTTCATTGATGGGTTTGTTTGGAGCAGCAGATAAACTTGATTGCTTTCTGATGATTATAGGCAGTTTAGGTGCGTGTACTCTTGGCGCTACGCTTCCTCTCTTCTTCGTATTCTTCGGGAAAATGCTAGACTCTCTTGGCAATCTTTCTACAGATCCTAAAGCCCTATCTTCCCGCGTTTCAAAGGTTTCTTTCAGAATGGAAATCTTTATGTTCTCATTTGATGTATGTATAAGTTCTTGAAAGGTTGGTGAGTATTTGTATTTTTTTCAGAATGCTCTAGACTTGGTCTACTTAGGACTGGTGACTTTTGTATCAGCCTGGATCGGTACGTTTCTAGGTCCATCTTTTGATATGTTTCTATAATGTTATCATGTTTTTAATTAGCTGGAATGGTTTATTGGCAGGGGTGGCTTGTTGGACGCAAACAGGGGAAAGACAAACAGCTAGATTGCGTATAAACTATCTAAGAGCAATCTTAGCGAAAGACATTACTTTCTTTGACACAGAAGCTAGAGATTCAAATCTCATTTTCCACATCTCAAGCGATGCTATATTGGTTCAAGATGCAATTGGTGATAAGGTACTCATTCAAATATATGAATTATCTTTCTAAGGTCCAAAAAAGTGTAGCTGATGAAATGTTTTTTTCTGTATCAGACAGGCCATGTACTGCGGTATCTATCTCAGTTCATTGCCGGATTTGTGATTGGTTTTTTGTCCGTATGGCAACTAACGCTGCTCACACTAGCAGTGGTTCCATTGATAGCAATTGCAGGAGGAGGGTACGCTATTATCATGTCTACAATCTCAGAAAAGAGTGAAGCTGCTTATGCTGATGCAGGCAAAGTAGCAGAAGAGGTTTGCTTACATACCAACGCTGAGATTTGTCAAATGCTAACTTCTTTATTTACTTGTGCAAAACGTTTTCACCAACAAAATTTAAATAGTAAAAGACATAATAACATTTGTAAGTTTTTTCATAAACAATAAAAAAATATATTTTTCAAATTGTGATTGCAAACAACAGATAATACATTTATATTTTCATAAACAATTTTGTTTTGTTTTTTCAAACCCATTCACTTACTTGCATTTGCTAATTTTGCTTACTATTATTAACAATGGAGTTTTGTAGAGCAAACTTGTGTGTTAAGTGCAAAACAAAACACAAAGAAACTATCAAGACCTTAATCTCTTCTTATTCAATTCTTAACACTTGAACTGATCCTGGAAAACATAATTATACATGCACTTTCAGGTTATTTCACAGGTGCGAACAGTGTATGCATTTGTAGGAGAAGAGAAAGCTGTAAACACATACTCAAACTCTCTCAAAAAAGCTCTGAAACTCTGTAAACGAAGCGGTCTTGCTAAAGGTTTAGGAGTTGGATTAACGTACAGCCTCTTGTTCTGTGCTTGGGCTTTGCTTCTGTGGTACGCTAGTATTCTTGTACGCCACGGCAAAACCAACGGTGCAAAAGCCTTCACTACGATCCTTAACGTCATTTTTAGCGGATTGTATGTCCAAAAACCCTAAAATTTGACCTGATAAAACCATCAAACTGCTTACTACAAATAATTTTGTTTACATTATCAGCGCCTTAGGTCAAGCTGCGCCTAGCATATCAGCTATTTCCAAAGGCAGAGTTGCTGCTGCAAATATATTCAGAATGATAGGGAACAAGAATCTTGAAGGTTCTGAAAGATTATACGAGGGAACAACTTTGCAAAATGTAGCTGGGAAGATCGAGTTTCATCAAGTGTCTTTCGCTTATCCTTCCAGACCAAACATGGTGTTTGAGAATCTTAGTTTCACTATACGTTCAGGCAAGACATTTGCGTTTGTCGGTCCAAGTGGTTCAGGGAAAAGCACAATCATATCAATGGTTCAACGTTTCTATGAACCAAACTCAGGGGAGATTCTTTTGGATGGGAATGACATCAAGAGATTGAAGCTGAACTGGTTGAGAGAACAGATGGGTTTAGTGAGTCAAGAACCGGCTTTATTCGCCACAACCATAGCTTCCAATATTCTTCTTGGTAAAGAGAATGCTGATATGGATCAGATCATTGAAGCTGCTAAAGCAGCCAACGCAGATTCGTTCATTAAATCATTACCTAATGGTTACAATACTCAGGTAATCTACTAATTAAACTTGTACAGTAATCTTTTCATATATCCATTTCCTTATTGGTCAAACAATTCTAATAGGTTGGAGAAGGAGGAACTCAGCTCTCAGGAGGACAGAAGCAAAGGATTGCTATTGCTCGAGCGGTTCTAAGGAATCCAAAGATACTACTCTTAGATGAAGCAACGAGCGCTCTTGATGCTGAATCAGAGAAGATTGTGCAGCAAGCACTTGACAATGTGATGGAGAAAAGAACAACACTAGTAGTTGCACATAGATTATCCACCATTAGAAATGTTGACAAGATTGTTGTATTGAGAAATGGTCAGGTTGTGGAAACCGGTAGCCACTCAGAACTGATATCAAGAGAAGGAGATTACGCAGCTCTTGTGAATGGCCAAGAGACAGAACCTCGAGAAAACCCTAGATCAATAATGTCGGACGCCGGTAAGTCTCAAGCTGGTTCGTCTAGTTCAAGAAGAGTGTCTAGCTCAAGAAGGACTTCAAGCTTCAGGGATGTTCAAGAGAAGACTGAAAAAGACTCTGATGGTGAAGATTTAAGCTCATCTTCGACGATTTGGGAGCTTATAAAGCTGAATGCTCCAGAGTGGCCATATGCGTTACTTGGCTCAATTGGTGCAGTTCTTGCAGGAGCACAAACTCCATTGTTCTCCATGGGGATTGCTTATGTCTTAACCGCGTTTTATTCGCCTTCTCCTAGTGTGATCAAGCGTGATGTTGATAAGGTAGCTATTGTCTTTGTTGCCATTGCAGTTGTAACAGCTCCTATATATCTCCTTCAGCATTACTTCTATACACTTATGGGAGAGCGTCTTACTTCTAGGGTTCGCTTATCCCTCTTCTCAGGTAAACACCAAGTTAAACATATTTGCTATGGGAAGAAGTTGTTTCTTGATTGTTTCTGTATTTTTGTACAGCTATTCTTTCAAATGAGATTGGATGGTTTGATTTAGATGAGAACAACACTGGCTCACTCACTTCAATCTTAGCTGCTGATGCAACTTTGGTGAGGAGTGCTCTAGCTGATCGCCTCTCGACAATAGTCCAAAACCTCTCTCTTACAGTGACAGCATTAGCAATAGCCTTTTACTACAGTTGGCGTGTTGCAGCTGTAGTAACTGCTTGTTTCCCTCTTCTCATTGCTGCTGCACTTACCGAGGTAAACACACAAAATAACTAAAGATCCTGTCAACCCTATTCTTGAATCTTGAATCTTGAATCTTGAATCTTGAAACGTGTGATGTTACAGCAACTCTTTCTAAAAGGCTTTGGGGGAGATTACACAAGGGCTTACTCCAGAGCAACTTCAGTGGCGCGTGAAGCAATTGAGAATATAAGAACTGTGGCTTCGTTTGGTGCTGAGAAGCAGATATCGGAACAGTTTGCTTGTGAGCTAAGCAAACCCACCAAGAGTGCCTTTCTCAGAGGCCATATCTCTGGAATTGGATATGGTTTTTCTCAGTTTCTTGCGTTCTGTTCCTACGCTCTTGGTCTCTGGTACGTCTCGGTTTTGATTAAGCATAAGGAGACGAATTTTTCGGATAGTATCAAGTCTTTCATGGTGTTGATCGTCACAGCTTTCTCAGTAGCGGAAACGCTTGCTTTGACACCAGATATCGTGAAGGGCACGCAAGCGCTTGGATCAGTTTTTAGGGTTTTGCATAGAGAGACTGAGATACCTCCAGACCAGGCTAACTCAAGATTGGTCACTCAGATCAAAGGAGATATAGAGTTTAGAAACGTGAGCTTTGCCTATCCGGCAAGACTTGATGTCCCCATTTTTCAAAACCTAAACCTAAGAGTCTCAGCCGGTAAAAGTCTTGCGGTTGTTGGACCAAGCGGTTCAGGCAAAAGCACGGTGATTGGTCTGATTATGAGATTCTACGACGCAGACAAGGGAAACCTCTGCATCGATGGGAAAGACATAAAAACCTTAAACCTACGTAGCTTGCGGAAGAAGCTAGCGTTAGTCCAGCAAGAACCAGCTCTATTTTCAACAACCATTTACGAGAACATCAAGTACGGGAACGAGAACGCGTCGGAGGCAGAGATAATCGAAGCGGCTAAAGCTGCGAACGCGCACGAGTTCATAAGCAGGATGGAAGAAGGGTACAAGACGCACGTGGGTGAAAAGGGAGTGCAGCTATCAGGTGGTCAGAAACAGAGAGTGGCTATAGCAAGAGCGGTTCTAAAGGATCCTTCAGTGCTTCTTCTTGATGAGGCAACGAGTGCTTTGGACACGACCTCGGAGAAACTGGTCCAAGAGGCGCTAGACAAGCTTATGAAGGGACGAACCACGGTGCTTGTGGCTCATAGGCTATCGACCATAAGAAAAGCAGACACGATCGCTGTTTTGCATAAAGGAAGAGTTGTGGAGAAAGGAAGTCATGGAGAGCTTATTTCCATATCTAATGGACATTATAAGCAGTTGACTAGTCTTCAAGAAGTGGTATGACTTACAACCGTTGAAGTTTCTTCTGCCATTTTTATTTTGATAAGTATACACAAACAGACACTACATTATGATTGGTTATACAATTGTGTCAGGAATATCAAAACCCACAAACTTTTGTAAAACATTATGGGAAGTAAAATAACACAGGATGTAATTTATTGGCTCTTCAAAATGAATGTGTTGCTAGATATTGTTCTTGTGACAATCTTATTTTATTTGGCAGTGGACTCTTTTGTTAAGTGTTATCTTTTGCAAGACAACGTGGGGCACCGAAAAGCCATATTGCAATAAAAAATCATATGTCAGCAGAATAAACCAGAGTTACGTGTCTTGCTAAAATCATCTACTTTAGCCAAGGCTACTTAAATGGTCGGATACGGACACATGTCACTAAACAAAACGCCCTCTTCCAAGAAAAAATATCACAAATTTTTGTAACTCATTTCTCCCCAATCAGTTAATCTATTTACATTTCTATATCCTCATTTCGAGGTCTTTACCAGAGAGAAACACACAGACACACACACACAAAAAAAGAATAAGTCAGATCTGAGATCAAAAGAAAAAAAAAAGATGAGCAACTTAATCCCACCAGAGAAACGATGGATCATCACAACCGTATTACTAGCGGGTCTAGTAGGCGGCGCTCTACTCTTCACAAGCTTCTTACGAGCCGCAGACGACGCTTTCTTCCTCTGCTCCACCGCAAGCGCCAAAAGCCGAGCCGTAGCCGCGGCGGCAGACTACAAAGCGACACCGATCCAGCTCCAAGCCATCGTCCACTACGCGACCTCCACAGTGGTCCCACAACAGAACATGGCCGAGATCTCGATCTCTTTCAAAGTCCTGAAAGAGCTAGCCCCCGCCAACTTCCTCGTCTTCGGACTGGGCCGTGACTCACTCATGTGGGCTTCTCTCAACCCACGAGGCAAAACGTTGTTCCTCGAGGAAGATCTTGAATGGTTTCAGAAAGTGACTAAAGACTCTCCTTTCCTCCGTGCGCATCACGTGCGTTACAGGACGCAGCTACAAGAAGCCGACAGGCTTCTACGCTCTTACAAAACAGAGCCTAGCTGTTTCCCCGCGAAATCTTATCTCCGAGGGAACGAGCGTTGTAAGCTCGCTCTCACGGGGCTTCCTGATGAGTTCTACGATACGGAGTGGGATCTGATCATGGTCGATGCTCCTAAAGGCTACTTCGCCGAAGCTCCGGGAAGAATGGCGGCGATTTACTCGGCGGCTGTTATGGCTAGGAACAGGAAGAAACCTGGAGTTACTCACGTGTTCTTGCACGATGTTAACAGGAGGGTGGAGAAGACTTTCGCTAATGAGTTTTTATGCCGGAAGTATAGAGTTCACGCCGCCGGGAGGTTATGGCATTTCGCGATTCCTCCGGTGGCTGCGAACGCTACAATCGACGGTGGCGATTACAGGTTTTGTTAAGATCGTGACACGTCTCCTATACTTTCCTATTTTGCCCTTTCTGTTATCTCTTTTTCGTTTCTTGAAGGGATCTTTATTACACAGGGTTCACTTATTATTCTGATTTAATGCCGACAGTTTTGGATCTACATCTCGTGTTTTGGCTTATTGTTAGTTACGTTGAGTTTCCGTATTGCCTATGGCAATTTTTACACCATAGTATATGATAATGTGACATTTATATATCTTAAGAGGAAGCTAAATAATTATCTTTTTGAAGAGAAGGTAGATATATTATATAGTATCAAATCTGGTAAACTCAGCTAAGACTTTATAATCAGCCGGAGTCTTAATTTCATTAAAACGTTTCTACTTTTGCCAGTCTAATTTGGCCAGACTTTTCTTTATGAGGAAAGGTAGGTTTTGCACATTGAATATTTTGTAATTTACGTTAACAAAGTAATGAAAAGGAAAATACATATGACGAGACAAGAATCTTTCGTTATATTGTGTTGAATTTTTCATAAAAGCTCAAAAAGGAAATGCAAATATATGTACAAGTGGGAACGAAAACCAACAATAGGTGACTCCTAAAATATTCTATAGATATTTAACTTTTACGTATGGCCCAAACAGTCACCATATTCAGATCGTGACTATTTTTGTAACGTTTATTTTTTCTGGATAAGCTAATAACGTTATTTAGGTATTTTAACGATAATGCTGATGGTGCAGAATAAAAACTATATTTCTGATATATATATATCCTTTGATATAATATATGATTTAATAAGCAGATAAGCAAAAGAAAATATATGAATTTGTCTGAGCGAAACAAACAGTGGATCATCATCTACTCTCATCATGGAGATTGTGTTTTTTCATAATGAAACACAGATTGATGCTTGCGTCCTGAAAGTGATAACTCAAGTCTTCTTACAGGATAATTATACATTTTATTGTTGGATATAAACACACAAATAAATGAAGTCAAGGAGACAATATGATACAACATAAGCTCTGTTTTCATCGCGGAGAATGCTGCCAAGAAGCAAGACTGTGCGCCTAAGGCCATGTGTTTTTGATGATCACTGAAGACTCTCTTCTTAAAGATGTACCAAGAGGTGTGTAATTAGTATTATTGTCGAATCCTCTTGAAATCTTTTTGTGTAAAGGACTTGCACTGCCGTATCCACCATTGATGCTTCGGTTCGAGATACGGCGATTGCTAGTACTTGGCCTTGCCACATAAAAACTATCTTGCTGGGCTACAGGTGGTGGAATGATCTTCTTCTTTTCCTGCATTGCAGAATCAATTTATAGTCAAGCAGGTTCAAGTAAAAATATATTATTCATGTTCACAGAGTTGTGAGAGGACTAACCCGGAGTCTTAGCTTCTCCACCTCCTTTTCCTGCCTCAGCCTATTGTATTCTTGTAACATTTCAACGAGAGGTTCCTGAAATTTAGGCACAAGTGAGTATTTCTATTGATTTTTTTTAATGAACTTAATACTAGTCTCCTCAAAACACGTCTAACTGTGGAGTTCTGATGGAATCTAGTGCATTAGTGATGGTATTATCGCACCCTATTTCTAATGATTTCAGAGTTTTCTATTGTTGATTTATAAGGTTGTGTCACCTCATTGTACAAGAAGACCTTGTGTCTTTCTGCTTGCCAGCTTTTAGCCTTTACCAATATTGATTCCACTAATCCTGGTGTCAACATCATAGCACGTTCAGTCATCAGTGTGTAGTTGCTATAAAACTTAAGAAGAAGAAGCATGTTCATATTTTACCTGTGATTTTGCTGACTTCTTTGCGTGCCCGTTCAGCTCGCCTTAGGTTTCGATGAGCATTTCTACTAACTGAGTACCGATTCTCGTCCTGTGACAACATAAGACTTTGTCGCATGAGTTTGACTACAGAGATGAAATGCAGTCAATAAAAGTGAATAGCAAAAACCTGGTCATATTCTTCTAGCCAGCGCTCTTCATCTCGTGCTAACATCCACCTATCCACTTTTTCAATTATTACTTTCCTACTTGCTGCTTCTTCCTTTGCTCTCGCTATCTTTTCATCCATTGCAGTAAGAAGGTCAACGTGGTCAATTTCACCTTCAATATAGATCAGTGTTAAAACTCTGCAATGAGTTTGACATATATCTTGAAGACACGCAGCAGCAGTTGCAGTTGCAGAAGGTTAGAGTTAGTCTCACCAGAGTCTACTAGGTTTATTATATCTCCCACTTGTGTTGATGGAGTCTCCATGTGTGATATGTTGCATGTAGCCTCTAGTTCCTTTTGTTTCTTGAGGAAAAGTTCTTTGGTTTTGCTTGCTTTCAGTTGATCTAGTCTCTTTACTTCAGCCTCAGCCTTTCGCACAAAAAGGTAATTAAGTTACATCATCTATCATCTGTATGGAACCTCTTTACTAACATTATCTACTTACCTGATGGATTATGCTAGATGTAATGCTGCCAGGAGCACACACGTCTGATGGTTCAAATGACAGTAACTCAGTGACGTGAGCAAACTTTTGACGATCTTCATAAGATGCATCCATTAGATTCCACAGGTTCGATAATTCTCTACCAAGATGGTGAATCTAGTAACATGTTCATAAAGGTGAGTCTGTTTACTGATTTGTGTTTTAAAATGCTTGAAAATATTATGAAAACATGTCTAGTTAGCTTCACCTTTTCAAGACGGTTCTGCTTTTCCTCTTCAAGAGACACAACAGTGCCATTAAGCTTCTTTAAGATATCATCACTTATGTTTTTGGATATTCCGTAGAGGTCATTGAGGCTTGGATGAATCTTTGTTATGATCATAGATGCTTCTGTTTCCAAGGTGGCTGATAGGTCTCTTATGGCGCATATATATATTTCAACCTTCTGCAGTCTTTCATTCTTGTTGTGACAAAACAATATAAAGTCAGAACAGTCTTGTATAGTTAAAGCAAGATCACTGTGTTCTCTAATTAGTATTGGAGATGTACCTTCTCATCATGGAGTCTATGGAGTTCATTCTGATACTCTTCAAGTTTCTTTATAGAAAGATCGTTATCGTCTATGGCTATATTTGTTGATGACTCTTCATAGGTTGATCTTCCTGCTATCTCTGCTGAAATCTTCTGAATCTCCCCTTTGACAGATCTGACTTGCTTCACTCTCTCGTCTTTCCTCAGCCTCATCTCACGCAGTGCAGGTGCAATAGCATCCAGCTGCTCCCTTAGTGTTCCTTCCTTTTTCTCCGGCTTTATAAAGATCACAACAACATTATAAGCTATCTGAAAACGTTGCCTAGAGTTGGCTTTGTTTAGAAATGAAGATTTACCCTTCCAGGTACTGATCTTTCACCGAGGCACAAAAGAAGATGAGTGAGTTCAGCTTCAGATTCGGCCAGCTCTTGATGTAGACGAGACCTAGAAATATTGGCATGGTCAACTTTTCTACGGTAAGCCTCAACACATTCCTGCTCAATATCGAGCAACACTTTCTCTCTCTCAAACTTATCTTCTCCAACTTCATCCCATATCATCTGTGGACAAAACAGTGAGCATCCGTAAGTCACAAGACTCTTTTAACTACATGAACCATTTTACTTGAAAGAAACATATAATGAAACAAACTTGCCAGTAACTCTTTGAGCAGATATCCGCAGGACATATCTAACAATGAGGAGCTTCTCATGCCTATAGGTGTCTGAAGGGAACCCATCTTCTGATGGATGAATTCTCCAGGCCTGGGATTGAGGTATGAGCTTTGTGGTATTGGTGGTGCTGGTT